CCTTTGCGGCAATGGCACCTTCGCATAACGTAAGGTTTAGGATTTGAACCTTATTTTGACACTTGGGTGTGTGAGTTATGTTTAATCAATCACTTTCCCAAAAATAAAGTCTTTTAATGCCACCATTGCTACTTATAACAATCATAAAAATGAAGTTTAAAAATAATGAATGTATCTGATGAATTTTTTTTATAAAAAAAATCCAAACGTGGTTTGAATCTTTGACGTAAGTTCTATTCAAAACAGATTGAATCTAATAGAATAAGTTAATCTCTCATGTTCAACCAAGATTTAAATTCTTGTTAAAAAAAGTATTTACATTTAGTACCCAACCGTATTTCAAACATAATTGTTTGATTTTCAATAAAAAGACACATGTATAAAATAAAAAAAATAGCTTAAGTAACTAAAATATTTTATTTTTTTCAAGAATAATTAACACTATCCAAAATATATAGAACACTTTTATATGCTATGTTTGATTAATATTATAAGACATCTCTAACTACTTAATCTGAACTAAAAAGGAATGGTTAAGTTATTGACCTTATTTAAAAATAAAATAATTTTTTTAGTTTACCCATATTTAAATGAAAATTTTATAAATTTGTATTATATTTTTCCCCCTAGTTAACGGCTTTGAGTAAGAGTAACATTGTAAAAGCTTAATTAATATCCCATCAAGTGAGGTATAATAAGGACAATTTATCTCTTTTAAAAAGTATCTTATAAGAAGGACTAGACATAATACTTCACAAGGATGATAAAAAATAATTAATTGTGATTTGTCATTAAAATGGTAAAAAATATCATTACTTTTCAAGATCACCCCTCCAATTAAAATTACTCTATCTTAATTACATTTAATTTCATTCTTATATAATTTCTTTTTACAATACAATTAATAAAGTCATTTGTGAAAAAAGAATAATTTAATACTATTGAGTTTTACAAAATGTCTATATCTTAAGCTAACATTAGTTTATAAAAAATGTTTTATATTTTGAATTAGAGAAATACAATCTACAAGCTCACCTTATTTTTTCACAAATTATTATTTTTTGTTCTTAATTTTATTTCTTATACTCTTAATGGAAATACAGATGTATATTTAATATTGATTAATAAAAGAAGCCAAAGAAGCAATAACAATAATGAGGCATGTGTGAAAAGAAGTGTGTGAAAAGAAGAAATAGAAATTGGATTGTGTGGGAGCAATCATGGAATTAAGAAGAAAGAGATGGAACCATCAAGTGTCAATGTATAAGATAGCAGAAAAGGATGGAACCCATTGTACATACTTTATGATATTGGCTCTTCACCAACCAGACACTTGTCTCCTTGTGGGCCTCTCATTAATTAATTTATGCATTTCATTATTTGTTGTATATATATGATGCCCACATCACCCCTCTTTCTTTGTTTGTCTTCACCCACTACTTCCCTATCCTTTGAGGGTAAATGACAAATTAGGACTCCTTATCATTTTAAAAATTGAGAATAAATATAAAAAAAATATTTAATTGACAATCATTTTAATTAAGCTTTTGGATTTTTAACTTACCTTATAAATAATTAATTTTATGTGATTTTCAACTTGCATTTGAAATTGGGATAATTTGGTCAAGTATCTCAAAGGACTAATAAAGTCCTTAATTGATATTTTAAAATTTTTGTAATCCTAAATATCCTTGTTCTATTTTTTAAATATAAAAATTAGGCTTCGCTTGCAATAAAAAATATCTTCTGTGAAGTACTGAGAGTTATAGTAAATATTTTTTAACTAAATTGTTAATATATCCTTATTCATTTTATTTGGTCTTAAAATATCACTTTCACTACTTTTGATTCCCTCCTGCATGCTTCCAGCTTTCAAGTTCCATATCACCTTCTCAGAAAACATTGGCCAAATTCATGTGTATGTCTTTCTTATTGTATGCACGGGATCTTCTGCCATCATCAGTGCAGTTTTAAATTATTTTTATCCAATTATAAAAGTTATTTTTCGTCACAACTACGTTGGTTTATTTACATAATTAGATTATTTTTCAAAAAAATATATTTTACCTACAAAGAAGCTGAAAAATACAATATATTATTGACAGGTTATGAGCGGAGTAGCTTATTCATGATTGTGAATTTTTCAAATATAGCCCATATTATATGACTAAACCAATTAAACAGCCCAACATTTATCATATTTTGTATTATGATTGGTTTATTGTATTTGTCAATGATATATTGTTATATATCAATAATAAACCTTTTGTGAGTTTTCAAATTCTTAATAATAAACCAGTTGTATATTAATATAAGCAAGCTATATTCTTACATTTTTAAAAAATTTAATCCTTATTTTCTGGTCACAATATTTTTTTTAGACTAGTGGGCCAATTTATCCTTCATGATTTATGAATAGTGGGACCTTATAATTTTTGTATTTTTTGTTAATTAGCCACTATTAAGGCTACTGATTTTTTTTTAATTATTCCTTCATTCGTGTGACCATATATCAACAAAGTTTTTCACTTACTTGTTTTAATATAACTAACATTTATGAAGAGTAGAGATATATAATAAGATCATAATTAAAAAAAGTAGTACGAAATCTTGTTATTATTTTTTAATAAAAAGATAAATGAATAAAAAAATTAGTCTCCAGGATATAAGTGTGCAATAATTCTCAAGGGATTGGGAGAGTGAAGAGTTTTAAGTTCAGAGAAACATTAAAGGAAACAGAAGCAAAATATTTAGCAATAATATAAATATCTTGCACCAACAGAAGAGAAGATCAGTGATGCTTCAGCAGAATTCAATGAAATAATTTCCTTCGATAGCATTAAAATGTATCACATTTGATTGGAGGCTCCATTCGAAGATATTATTTTAATCCAGGTTAGCATACCTCGAAAACAAAGCAGATTATATTGATGCAACTTGGTTTAGTGCAAGTAGAAAGTTTCCACAGGAAGCTTCGCATGAACTCAAAATTGACAAAAAATATAGCAAGACAGTAGGTATTTCAAGTCGTATTTGAATTTTTTTTATCCTTATGCTCTAAGGCAAGTGAGGATTTCTCAAAAGGAATATATTCTACATCATCCCAAAATTACAATCTTTTGAAGTATTATTATCTCTTTTGTCTGAACCTGACCAAACACAAACTTCTAAAAGATAAAAAACAAAATTGTAAAAACTCCTTGATCACTTTCCTTGAACGACAAATAACCCTTTGTGAAATGCAAGATCTCTTTTTCGCTAAACTAAGTTAAAGAAGATAGTAAGACTTCCAAACTGCATAGTAAATCCAAACTATCTTTATACGATTTAGGATTCGTTTGGTTTTCCTTCATTTCACGTTTAAAAAGTAAAATTTCACTTTTAAAAAGTTAAAAGTTGTTTGGGTAGAATATTTTGCAAGAAAACACATCCTGAAAGTACATTCAAACAGTAGCTGAAAGTGAATTTCTGAAACGTAACTATTTGAAGCTTTTGAAAAGTAAATTTGAAAAGTAGGATGTTATTTGATCATACTATCCTAAGTTTAATCTCTTATTTTTTATTTAAAAAATAGTTAATTCAATAAAAATATAATTATTATTTTAATAATAATAGTTAGGTATCAATTTTTTTAGTATTATAAGTTGAGTAATTAATCATGTTAATTTTTAGCATTAATGTATAATAAAAATTACAAATCTTTATTACCTCTTTTAAAATTACAAATTAAAAAATGTAAATAATTAGAGATTAAATTTTTAGCATTATAGATCAAAATCTATGTTATTTATAATCTTTATTACATTTTTTAAATATTTTGAATATATTACATTTGTATAATAAAAATTATAAATTATTATAAATCAATGTCCTTTTTGGTAATTGTACATTCAAAAGCACATTTCACTATCACAAACCAAACAACTTTCAATGTATTAAACTGATTTTTAAAAAAATATATTCAAATACAAATTTTATTACAACAACTGACTTTTATTAAACTGTCTTTCACCAAATGAACTTTCACTAAATAAATTTTTAATAAATTAAAAATCAAACACACATTTAATGATTGTTGTGATCAGTCAAATAGAAAAATCAATAACCACTATTTCAAAAAAGTGAATAGATGAAGTACCAAATTAGATTGATCTGACATAATAACGGCTCTCAAAAAGATGCGTCAATCATTCTGATTCCACACAAACCAAACACACAATGGGTTAGCGTGTGTTTAGATAGCACATTAATCAATTTTTTCAAGAGAAAAGATCGATTTTGCATGAAATTATCAAACAGCAACTTTTCTCAAAATATCGATTTTTTCAGAAAAATTGATTTTTTTCACAAAGATGAGAATCCAAACCTTTACAGAAGCGCTCGTCAAAAATCTTTAAAAAAATTATAAAAAAAAGTTCAAGAAAAAATTACAAAAAAATTACATAATTTAATAAAAATAAAACTAAACTCTCTTCCCTTTTCTTTCTTTTTTTAATAAAATTCAAACTTTATATTTTTAAAAAATTAATATTTGATATTTAAGAATTAAATTATATAGTAATTTATATAATTAAAATTAATTCTAGATAAATTATCTAAATATTTTCAGTTATGTTAAAATCAATTTTAAAAAAATAGTATCCAAATAGATTGTGTTATAATATAATTAATTATTTTTATAATCTATTATATACAACTGAAATTTAAACGGACACTTAATAATAATAATAATAATAATAATAATAATAATAATAATAATGTCATTATATATTATTATTAAATTTTAATAAAAACGTCTCATTGTCACATGTAAAACGTGTACAAATTAAATGTAATTAACTAGTAGATAGAGTAGTTGAATTCTTCTTAGGTTTAGTTGGTCAAAATTGTCCTGTTATTTTACTTTTACTCGTATTAACAGGAACACAAGGGGAAGGGTAATATGGTAATGACAAAGAGCATAATATGCATATAAATATCATCCCTAGGTATGTCTATTCCCTATGCAAATTACAGATAGGTCCGAATTTCGCACAAGGTTCTTCTGCTCATTCCTTAGTTGCCGCCGTTGATGGAAGCAGAGGATCTTCTGAAACTCTACGATTCTTGCTGGTTCGAGGTTGAAATCTTGAGGAAAGCTCTAGGTTCATCGAAATCAATGAGTTCTGAATCAAACCCAGAATATCAAATTCAAGACAAACAAACCACAGATTCAGCAAAACCTAAGATTACTCGCGTCGAAACCATCCACTCCAGGTCCATGAGCGACTCCATGACGAGCCTCAAGCTCGATTCTCTTTCCCCAGACACTGTTCTTCTTGTTCCCTCTAAGCTTCAAACCATTTTATCAGGAAAAGAAGTCACAGACACGGACCCAGAAATAGATCTCCCAAAACAGAGTACACTGCATCTCGAAGATTTGCCGAACAAGATGAAGAGAGATTTCAGGAGGAGGAAGAACAAGAAGGAGAGAAAGAGCCTGTCTGATCTTGAATTCGAAGAGCTAAAAGGGTTTATGGATCTGGGTTTTGTTTTCTCCGAGGAAGATAAAGACTCCAACTTGGCTTCCATAATTCCGGGATTACAGAGGTTGGGGAAGAAAGATGTTGATGAAGAAGAAGCAGATTTTGATGAGTCTGAAATTTCAAGACCTTATCTCTCAGAAGCATGGGAGTTTCAGGAGAAAAGAAGAGGGACAAAGAGAGAGAATAATCAGAATCAGAACCAAAATCGTAATCGTCTTCTGATGAACTGGAGAGTTCCTTCTAGCAACAATGAAATTGATGTGAAAGATAGTCTAAAATTGTGGGCTCACACGGTTGCTTCTACTGTTAGATGATAAATCTTAATCTCAAGCTCATGATTTGTAATTTTCAGTTCATGTAATATATTTTTCCTGCTTGTTACTTAATTTTGTTGGAGTGTTTCCAACCCAAAAATTCGTAAATTATAACTGTAAGATAAGAGAATTTTCATTTTCATTTAACATTGTAGAATTATTGGTCTTCACTTGCGTGAGGGTAAGTTGTGCCATGGATTTTGATTAGTGCGCATTTTTTTAAAAAATTTTATTTTATAAAGTGATGATATATAAATTATGCAACTTTAGGGCAGTGGAGCCATGTCATAGTAGCATAAAATAGTATTTAAATAATGCATGGGGGTTGGTTTAGCATTAGGATTTAGATTGTTAGTTCTTCACAATACAATAAATCAATTTAAATTTGGCTCCAATAAAAAAAAAAACTTGTATGCAATTAAAAAAAATAGAGAGAATTATAACTAAATCTTGCATAAAAAAAATTAATTATTACAAAATTTACAATACAGTTTAATTTAATTATTAATAAATTTTATAATAATTAATTTTTTTATATAAAACTTTAATGTAACTCTTTCAAAAAAGTATGGCCACATAGGTTTTGTTTGATTTTTGTTATTATTTTTTGTTTTTAAAAATTTTATTGTAAAACGGTTGTTAGAATTGTTTTTTTAAAATAAAGTAAAAAATATGTTTGATTGTATTAATTTAAAAATAATTTTAAAATTAAAAAATTGATGTATAGTGATGATTATTGGCAATTAATGATAGTGACTTATGATAATTATTGATCAAGATAACTATAATTTTTAATAATAAAATTTAATATATTTTAAAAATAAAAAATGAAATGAAAATAGCTTTAAGATGATCCTATTTTTTTATTTTTAAAATAAAAAATAAAAATAGTTTTAAAAAAATTAAATTTAAAATACTCATCCAAACAAGTTTTTTAAATTTTTTTTAAATTTTTATAATAAAAAACTGTTTTTGAAAAGAGAAACCAAACATGCCATCTTATTTAATATAGATACTTTATCCGTTTAAAAATATAAGGTATTTTTTGAGGAGTTGGATGTTAAAAAATATAAAAAATTTTAATCTTTCGAGATATAATCATTCCCTTTTTTCAAAAGTGCCTTTATTGATAATGATTTTATATTTGTTGTAGTGTGTTTAATAAGAATAAATATCAAAAGATAGAGTTAATTTGAAAGTAAGTAACTACTTTATTGGAGAGTGAGATTTAGTTAAAAATATCTTACATTTTTTGGACAGAAGGAGTATATTAATTAGTAATGTTAAATTATAAATAATTAATATAGTTATAAATACTGCTATTTTTTAATATAAATATTTTCTTAATATAAATAGTGTTTTTATTCCTTTCGTTTCATAATAATTAGATAATAAACATTATGATTTATGACATCTTATAATAGGACAATGTCATACGTCGTTTCACATATTATTCATATCTCAATTGGGCTAAATTAATAGAGATAGTTTCCACGTCCACTCATACAACTTGGTTCAATATAAGTTTTTTGGCCTCATATCAACTCAAGCTTGTGTAAGGGTACAAATTCTTATTATTTAAATAATTAAAAGTTTGAATCTCAATACTTGTACTAATCTCAATCTAGATTAGAGCTCTACCATTTTATTCTTAAATCCCTTACTTTCTGCTATTGACAAATATAATGCATTTTTGTAATACAGTTATGGCGAGTCGTTAGCCCATAGTCTAGAAATACACAGTAAACCTTTCAACTTCATGAACATTTGTTTATAGGCTAAATTATGCAAAACTTTCTTAAAATTTAAATCATGTACAAATAACTTTGTTAACTTTTAAAATTTAATAATAACCCTTCTTGAGTTTTCAGGTTTATGCAAATAACCCTTAGCCATTGATTATACACCCCCTTAAAATTTATTTTTGTGTGTATTTAAGCTCCTAAACTTTGACGAAAATACGAATAACCTTCTAAACTTTAAATTATGTGTAGATAATTAATGTATAAAATTAATTATAAAGAGTTATCTACATAAACATAAGAGTTGAGGAGGTTCATTGTAAGGTTTCAAAGATTAAGGAGGTTATGTGTATGTGATTCAAAATTCAGAAAAGTAATGTATACTTTTTCCTTTTTTATATGATATGATTAATTTTTTCAACATTCAAAATATGTTTAAGGAAAAATTATATATAACCTTTGTGAAGCAGACTTATTAACAAATAAGTCTCATGGAATTCAAAAATTGCAAGCGAGTCCCTTAAAACTTGAGTGTAATTTAAAATTAGGATGCAAAGATAATAATGCCCCTATTAAAAATACATTACATCAATCAAATAATTTATAATTATTTCATAAATAATTTACAACTATAATTTTACATATCCAATAGTTAAATTGATCATGCATTACAAGTTTATTGCTAATTGTATACAACTATTTTATTAATAATTTATAACTATCATTTCAACATTTTATAACTATAACTTTACATATTTAATAGTTAAATTGATCATGTGTTATTAATAAAGTTTAACACTAATTGTTTACAATTATATCATAAGTAATTTACACCATTACTTTAATACTTTATTCCCTTTGTTCCAAATTATAAATCACTTTTAGGCTAAATCTCACATACTAATAACTCTTATTAAATACACTTAAAAACCTTATTTTTTCAAAACAAAAACGTAAAATTTCAAAAATATCCTTCATTTAATAATATTAAATGTACACCTAATTAGTATTAAATAGAGAGAGAAAGGGTAGTGTTGGAATAAGTATATTTAATGAAATCTTAATTTTCTCATAGTGTCTTATATTTTAGGACGGTAAATTTCCTCTAAAAGTATCTTATAATTTGAAACGAAAAAGTACGACTACAACTTTAGTTTTTTTAATAGGAGCAGTATTGTCTTTGCATTTTAATTTTAAATTATACTTAAATCCCCAAGGATTTGGCGAGAGTTTTTAAATTTCACAAGATTTATTTATAAATAAGTATACTTCACAGAACTTATACATAATTATCCCTAAGTTTAATTTTTAAAATATTCAAGTATACTTCACAGAACTTATACATAATTATCCCTAATTTTAATTTTTAAAATATTCAAAAATATATTTTTAATTTCAAAATATAGGTTTGCTTAAACTCTAATTATTTTTATTTAATTTGTGGTTGTTTGGTTGTTTTAAACGTTGCATGATGATGATGATGATGATGATGATGATGATGATGATTATAATGATGATGGTGATGGTGCTGACATTATAATAATAATCATCATCATCATTATATTCGTGGTCGTTAAAGATGATGAAAGAAATGGAAAAGGAAAAAAAATAGATGGGACAAAATGTAATAACAGAATTGATGGAATGGTGAAGACAGGCAGAGATGGGAAGGTGATGAAGGATGTGATGGTCCATTTCTTTTGGGATTCTTTCATATTTTTTTTTTAAAAGGAATCCAGAGTCAATTTAAAGTGCATAATATGGTACCTTTTTTTTAAATCTAGAAAAGGCTAGCAGAAAGCTAGAGAGAAACCAAACCTCAATCCCGTGTTTGATTGCCTTGGCTTCCACAATGGTGACTGGTATATGACCCAAATTGCACGTGAAACCTAAAATCCACTTTCCCTCTGAGTCCCTGAGTAATCCTCCAAAGGCCGCACTATTTGTTTTGATTTACAGAAGCATCCACATTTAAGCGTAATGTACCAACAGCAGGAGCAACCCAAGTAGAGTCTTGCAGCTCTGTTTGGGCATCACCCAATAAGTTAAGGTGTTGTAAAACTCTTTCTTCATTCAATTTCAATCTACATGCGCTAATGATGTCCTCAGCATTATGTTGTGTTCCTTCAAAAATTTCCTTGCGTCTTGTTGTCCAGATTAACCAATAAATAGTTCCAAAGATCCTCGTCCAGTTCCAAGTTTGAAAAATTTAGCCTCCTAAGTTTTGGCTTCTGTTCCATTGAAACTAATTTTGCAAGCTGCATGAGAAAAAACTGTTATGAAAAATATTATTAATAATTTTCTCCCATGCTTCTCTCGCTCTTTTACTATCTCTCAGAATGTGTATGACACTCATTACATCCACACTCAAAAGGGCACGAAGCATCTAGAGTAATTCCTCTCTTTGCTCTAATGAGGTTGCTTGGTAGACGCTCATGTAAGACCTGCCATAGGAAGCATTTGATTTTCTTCTATAAAGGCCACTTCCATAAAGGAGACCAAATATGGGATAAACCATTAAATGTACCACTTTCAAGAAAAGAGTATGTAGATTTTACTAAGAACCTACCATCGTTAGTTGGTCGATCTCCACTAGAACCCATTATTCTCCTGACTAGTTGGAGGAGGGAAAGTCAAAATTTTCTCAACAATATTATCAGGAAAATAATATCGATGAGCACAAATATCTGACCCACTTGAACTAGAGTAAAAATCACAAACCTTGGCATGGGCATTTAAAGGAGTAGATCTATTGGCCACATATTCAATTAAAGGTCTTTCCATGAGAGCCCAATGATCCTACCAAAAGCTAGTGGTTTTAACATTGTTAACTTTCTTGCTCACTCGTAGAAGAAAATTATCCCACATTTTAACAATTCTGTTCCAAGTATGAGAAGTAGATCTCTTTTTAACAATTGTCGGAATGATACCTTCACCACATGTATATTTAAATCTCAAGCAGATGACCCAAAGGGCATCAGTATTTGTAAGAAGACCCAAAAACAAAAAAAAAATTCATTAAAAAAGCCTGATTTTGGATTTGCAAATTCTTTATGCCAGCCCCCCATTTCCTTTCTCTAATAGTATCCCAAGAGATAAGATGCATTTTCTTTTGATCCTCTCTATTTCACTGTATTTATCAATCTCCTTTAAAATACCAATAGGGATATGTATGGTTTGCATAAAATAAGATGGGAGTGCAGAAATGACAGAGTTTATGAGCACCGTTCTGCTAGCCATATTCAAAAAAGAGCTTTTTCAAGAAGATAGCCTAGATTTAAGACAAAGCAAAATAAAGGGAAAAACAAAAAGAAGAAAAAGATTAAAAGATGGTGCTTGGCCGTGTGGAAAATATGCCACTCATGTATTTTCCCCCCAATTATCACGATTTAATGATAGTCATCTTGATTTTACCTATTTATTTTGGATC